GGGGGGGGGGGGGGGGGGGGGGGGGGGGGGGGGGGGGGGGGGGCGGCTGCCCACGCAAAGACAGTAGTAAATTTATGACGAGGCAGGGGGGACGTAGAGCCTGTCCCCAACCCCAAGTTAGCCGAGTGTATGCTTCATCCAGTATGTTCGAGACTACAGGCAGGGGTGCTGCCGTTGCATGGAGTTTGGGGGGGTACCACGGCTGTTGAGTGGTGGGAGCCGAGGGGTATTGAATGTCACTGCTGTCGCCGTCAAGCAAGCCCAGCGAGAGAAACTACAGTGATTTTGACCAGTGAGAGAAAGCAAGCTCTGATTGGTGTGTGGAGCGCACATGTTCGATTTTTTTTTTTTGTCAGACACGCGAGTTATTGTTTTTCGGTGCTTCCTGATGCCGAATGCTCTCATGCCGGAGATACCGGAGATATTGCTGCTGCTGCGGGGGCTTGATAGCACCGGTCGAGTGAGGCTTGGTTTAATCTGGTGTCGACCTTTGTTGATTTCTCCATGCTGCTGCTAAGGAAATTGATGATGATGATACATGTATCATGACGCTAATGTCGATGGCGGGGCTGTTGCTGCTGCTACTGCTGCTGCTGCTGTCGAGCAGGAGAGACATCGGCGCATGGTTCGCGACAAGTTTTTGCAGCAGGTCCGAACAGACAAGAGATGCATCGAGGAGGGGAAGAAGGTGGCTCACTCCTATTGACTGAAACAGACTTCCAAGCTTGTCGCTGAAATGTTATCTCCAATCAGTCGCACCCGCTTTATGGGCACAGCAATCAAGGACCCTCCGTGCCTCAAAGACGCCGTTGTATTTCGAAGCGTAATGCCCAGCAGAATGTAGCCCTAACCCTGACAGGTTCATATTTATAGGGCACTTCGCCGCGTTAAGGACGCTGCTTGTGACGAACGGCCGTGAGGGTCCTCAAGGCTGGAACGACTGAACCAGTGCAACCTTGAAAGTCAGCAGAAGGGCTGGTGTAAGCAACCGTTTGAGCCTGCCTCCCGCTGTGCGTGCATGACTCAATCGTGCCCTCAATCTAGAGCCCTATGCGATAACGGTTGCCCCACCCATCCAAAGCTTGTCTGTCGCCTCCACCGCCGTGCGTTTGTACCCTCGTCTTGGCCAAAGGTCTCCTTGTACTGCCCGGCGTTCCTCCGAGCGCCCCTAGAGCTGACGCCGCCGTCCCTGGAGCTCTGGTCCACAGCGGTCCTCTTCGGCTGCGTGTCGGAGCGGACCATTCTTCGGGCCCTGGACTTGCTGCTGCTCGAGAAGACGCTCGTCGTCTGCGGGAGGGACATTGGCATTGTGAGATCGTTGTGCTAGGGATGGTGGAGGTGGATGGCGCCACTGCTCGTTGGTCGTCGTGTCAGGGGTGGATACATGCAGTTCTGCGATTCTCTTGCTCATGGGTAGGAGAGTCCGGCGGTTTTGGGGTGGTGCGGGTTGACGCCCGTGACGGAGGGTTCATTGCATTTTTCTGTCATGATGTTGGCATTGTGAGACCGTTGTGCAAAATAGGGTTGGTGGCACGATGGTGTGCCATTGCTGTTGGTCATCGTCGCAGGAGTAGATACATAGTGTTCTGCGTTTGGCGTTTTTGAGGTGGTGCGGGTCGACGGCCTTGACTCAACTTTAATTGTTGTATTTTTTGTCATGGTGTTGGCGTTGTGAGATCGTGTTGCTAGGGTCAGTGGAAATGGACGGTGTATCACCAGCCGTTGCTGTACGTCATCGTCTCTGGGATAAATGCAAGGTTTTGACGGGATTTTCATGTTTTTTTTTTTGTCATGATGTGGCATTGGCATTGTGAAATCGTTGTGCTAGGAGTAGCGGGGGCGGACAGTGCGTCTGCTTGTTGGTCGGTTAGTGGGGATGGATGGTGTGCCATGTCTTGCTCCTGGGTGTGAGCATCGGGCGCTTTTGAGGTGGGGCGGGTTGATAGCCTTGAAGGAGCTTCGATTGTTTTTTTGCCATGAGTTGGCATTGTGAAGTCGTTGTGCTGGGGTTAGTGAGGGCGAATGGTGTGTCATTGCTGGTTGGTTATGGTTTCAGGGTTAGATGCGTTGTGTGCTGCGTAATCTCTTGCTCATGGGTGTAAGCTTTTGAGGTGGTTCGGGGCGACGGCCCTGACGGAGAAGACTGTTTTCTTTGTCTTGTCATAGTGCTGGGGTTTGTGTGCGGCAGTCCGGGTTGTCGTGGTGCCATTTTTTCCACCTGGACGATCGTCTCTGATGAATGCATGCTTCTGCGGCGTTGATCACGCTGTCGTTGTTACTGTTGATGCTAACCCAGCAGTCTCTGCTCACTACCTTACATTCTAATATCCGTACTTGTCCCGACTATCGCCCATGTGTGTACTACGTCTACAGGTGTCGATGGCTGCTACGGCACTCCTCTCGCTGCTAGACCCATTCAAGGTTGGTCTGGCTGCGACTTCCGAATCGTTTGTCGTAGGTTCGTGATGCGAGCAGCTAGAAAGCTATCAGCGTACAGTGAAGAGCAGACGACCGACCTCCTTGGCCTGACGCTTTCTGTTCCAGTGATGAAATGAGTGTTGCGGACACAAAGCTGTTGTACTTGAGTACGCTCTCTTGTCGTGGTACTTTCAAGCCTTCGTGCCATGTCCGTCTTTCCACTGGTGCCTGTCTGTTTTCAGTTATTCTTGTGGATGCGATGGCTTGTTGGTAGCGGATATAGCAGTCACGAACATCAAGATGATAGTTACACGACTGTCGTCGATGATGCGGTCTTGGTGCTGTCTGTGCTTGTCTGTGCTAGTGTCGTTTTTGTCTTGTGCCGTATCTCAGCGGTTGTCGGACAAGGACACAGCAATCACACACGTGTAAATGACAATGTTGGTCGGTGGTAGCCACGAAACGACCGTCGTCGATGCTGTGGTCTCAATGCTGTTCTTGCCTGTCTCACCTCGTCTGCCTTGAGTGCGTTATCTCAGCAGCTGGTCGGACACGGGTAAAACAGTGACGCACATGTTTATTGACAGCAGTTTTTTTCTGTGGCGGTCACGTGACCAATGTGGTCGATGCTGTGCTTTTCCTTTCGATCGGGAAGGCGTTTGCGTCGCTACGGTTTCTGTCGTACCGCAGACTGTACAAGGGAATGGAACCCTTGTCAACACGCCACCAGTGACACCTACTCTGCGAGTACCTCGGTACGAGTTACGGGACCCCCGCCGTCAACGTTGCGCGTTTCATTTGTATTCCAGTGGGAAGGCGTGTTCGTTCCCGTGGTGCCGTTGGCGCTAATGGACGTGCTTGACAGTCCCGTGCCGGCGCTGGTCGGGGTTCAGGCGCCCTTGGACCCTCTCAGTTCCGCCGCCGACGGTGTGGCGGTGCTCGATCTGGATGCTAACAACGCCTCGGTAAGGGTGACTCCGCTTACAGTGCCGACGACAATTTGTCAGGGTTGTCGTCGGGAGTTTTCCCGGCGTCGACGTTTGTTCCCGCCTTGGTGGGCGGTTCCGGTGCTGGCGGTAATTACCGCCGTATTTTGGTTTACCGGGATCGCCGAAGAACGAAAAACCGAACACCGCCGAAAACGCCTCGCCGTGTTGCAAAACCGCCCAGCTTGTGTGTCCGCGCAAGAATACAATAGGGACGACAACCCTGCTGTTTTTGCCGTGACAAGCGACTTTGGCTCTATTTTATCCGCACTTTCTGTTTCATCGATTATCTTGTTTCGTAGCCTCGTAGCCGGCATTGTGTTGCCGTCTGTTGGTCATGAGACAAAGATAAGGACGACGCAAGGTGCAGAGTGATTGTGTTAAGGAGAGTCGGATTCGTTTTTTTTTAGCGAAAAATATCACGTTTGCGATGGGCGAACGGAGTTAAAGCATGCGTCTTTTTGAGTTTAACAGCTTTACCGGTAATCGTCCGGCTTTTGTTCTTTCTGGAAATCTTCTCGGGAAGCAATATTTCAGTTTCGCGATTTCCGGGTTCACGCTTGTCTTTATTGCGTAATTTTGTGGTAGAATACATGCATTTGAGTTGACTTTTGGCCACGGAAGTTCGTTTCCTTGCCTTGGAAGAGTCACTGGGTAGGTATGAGAGCGGTTATTTCAGTGCAGAGGTTTCAACAACAAGAATGATGTGCGTTTGAGGCCGAGCTTGGCCACGCCGGTTACGTCAAGCTGTTGGGGATTTGCCGAAAGTCGTCCACAATGCACGCACTCGACAGTATTTTTCGTGCATGTCTCGTGCCGTCCGTACTTGGTGCATTCCACCAATCGAGTGCCCTCCTATGCGTTTGTTTTTGTCACAGGCTTGATTGTTTGACCATCGGCTTGGCGTGGCTCGACGATACCTCCCCCGGTCGGTGCCCAAACGAAAAACGTCCACAGCACTTAATGTAGACTTCCTTGGCACTGTCACGGGGGTCACATTTGTTTCTTGTCTCCAATACTTGTATGGTAGAAACAAGCACTTTTGTTTGTGCCAATCCTGTGTTTTCGTTTTATGGATGTCTTTTTTCCCGCCAATGCGTGTTGCTTTTCATGCGTGTCAGGGCGAGCTGTTCATGGCCGGGGCGCACGAGGACTCGACAGTGCCAGGACACCTCGTGACGTCACTCGAACACGCCAACACCCTCAGGGGCAAGCGCCGCTCCTCGGGGGCCCCGGTACGTCGAAAAAGCGACGCACTTCGTCTGTCCTGACGTCTCTCGTCATTCTACGACTCCTTGCATGCGAAATGATCCTCGTATCATAGACTCCCTACAATATGTAGCAGGCACGGGCGTTCCTGCTGTGAACGGAGTTTTGGGATTTCTTACGATGCGCCAGGACGACCAGTGCCCAGAGGGTTGTGAGCGTTTCGAACATCTTTCCGAATACGAAGGCATTAATTATGGTATCCCACGGTTAATTATTTTTTCACCCGACCGTCCCTTTCTGGCAGCAGGCAGGACGACGCTCACCCACCTGGAAGCTTGAACCTCCGGCTGGAGGCAAGAGCCCAAAGCACGAGAACAGTTCAAGCCACGACCGGGTTGCGACCAGTACCGGCGGTAGTGGGAGCGGCACCAGAGGCCTTTCTCCACGAGGGACGAGGGGAGGAGCGCCGTTGTCAAGGTTAAGATCATCGTCGTCTTCGTCGTTGTTGTCGTCGTCGTCTCCGAGACCCAGGTCGCACTTGGTGTTCCACGCGAGCACCTTCATGGCAGGTGATACTAACAGGAACGGTCTGTATTTATACCTTTGTGGCAGGTGAGAGAAACAGAATCGATTTTTCGTTTATTGCCATGCTGCTGTGCGTGCGAGACAACCACGAGGGAGCGAAGCGCACCAGCCAAGACCAAGGCTTGAGGGTGGCTGCGTTGGTGGACGTCTTTGTGAAGATCGTCTCATCTGTGTGTATATACCGATTGCGATAGTTCGTTAAAAATTGCCTTAACCCTTACGGGTGGGTACAAGCGCTGGTAGCAAACAACAGGTTCGTTCGTGGTTTTGGTTGTCCATTTCTTGTGCTTGTCTCTTCTTGTTCCACGGAGAACACGAGTGGGTTCAGTTCTTGTGGTTGTAGTTGTGGTTCACGCGGATGTCGTTGTGGTTCTCATGTAGCTCATGTTCTACCCCCCTCCCTATTACACAGATTGCTCATTTCACTCGCGAAGGCGGTTCATTGTGGTTCATGTGGGTCACGTGGTTGTGTGGCTGCGGCTCATGTGGTTGTGATCGTGGTTCAGGCGGGTGGCGCGATTGTGGTCGTGGAACATGTGGCGAACGCGAACGTGGTAGTGGTTCATATGGTTGTGGTTCATATGGTTGTGGTTCATATGGTTGTGGTTCACGTGGCCTCACGCGGATGTGGGTGTGGCTCGTGTGGTTCTCATGTGTACAAATCAGGCCTCACCCTCGAGGAGAAGGGGGTCGTGCTTCGCCTGCGATCGTTGGTGAAGGCTCGTGTCTCTCGGCTGTGTGGCGACCTCGTGGCTAGTGACATGTGGAGAAAGTACTGTGCCTTCAACTCGGTTACAAACAACTTCGACTTCCACCCTGACTGGTGAGAAGGATAAGAATCCAGACGAGATTCGGCAAACGTCATGGAGAGCATGGAGAGTTGGTGGGGGGAATACGTGCGTAATCATCTAAGACAAAAGAAAGTTGGACATGCGAAAGGTCTGAAATGGGAGACCAAGATATTGTGCCAAGCGCTGTTGATCATGCATACGTAGTGATGATCACATGTACACGCGTGGCGTGCTATCATCCATGACAGAAAGCACACCCGAACGGATCCGAACGATGGGAAACGACAAGTGAAGAGCTTCTTTTCCCTCCGTGTGGATAATATTTTTGTCTATTCGACAATGCCGTGATCTCAAGACAGTTTCAATTTGCTTCCAGCCCTTCGAAATGTTTCGCCATGAAAACGCAAACACAGCATTAGCGTGTCGTCGATCTGGTCTCGTTTCAGTCTCGTGTCGTCGATGCGGTCTCGTACCGTCGATCACGTCGCCTGTGTAGCGGCTGCGTCGCATCGAATTCGGCGGACAATCGTGAAAAGCGAAGGGTGATCGCACAAGCCCTAGAACAGGCTTTCAAAGCTCGGTCGCTCCACAATCGAGAAGGGGGCACAAAAACCGACCGATGCATGCAAGGAATGCTCCTGATGACGATGTCTCATCTTTCCAAGACTACCCTTGCCGGCATTGGCATCCTGTTGGTCGTCGAGCATCCGATTCGAGCTGTGAAAGTCACGTCCAGTTGTACGGTAATATTTTATTACCATGGGATTTTTTTGTTTACTCTCGCGCTTGTTCGGACACCCTGGTCGTGGGTGGCAGCAGCTCCTCGGCAGGATGTTTAATATCCGGGTGAGGGTTTTTCTTGGATGACTCCCAAGCCCGGGCGAAACGTTTCTAGAACCGTGCTTGCTTGTTTTGGTCCGGGCTTCAAACGGCTTCGTGTTGGCATATCCACCGCTTCTTTCGGCTTCGATTTTCCACCCACGTGTTGCTATCTATGATTATGCCGATTCACTTACAACCCTTCCCTCCTGGGGAAGGGAGTACTCATGCTTTGAATGCCGCGGGGGCGAGGGGTGATTCTCAAGGCAGGCGTTGCTTGCTGATTGGTCGTTGCCACGCATAATATGTACTTGAAGTATCAATGATGTACTTATTGGTCCGTACGTACACCATTGCGTACGCGTACACCCTGTCAACGACCGACCAGGTTTACGGAGCCCCTGGAGGCCCAGCTGAGGTTCCAGGTGGCGGTTTCGCGCACCCAGATGTTCGTCTCCTTCGTCGAGCGATGCAGGCAGAAAGACATCTCGGAGGTACGTGTGATTTTTCACGTATGTTCCGGCAACACGTTCGTTCTCGTTCTTAGTTGTATGCATGGACACCGATGCTGCGGTTCACTTGGCGTTCGGAATGTTGATCCGAGACGTGGTTCGCGGATACAGCGATGGCATCTATATGGCGTAGTTGGTACACCCCCCCCGCCCGCGTTTCCAACCTCGATATCCCGAGACATCGGAAGAAGGAAGAAACCATGGTTGTACTGCTTCAAGGTTGGACGTCCAGGTAGTACCTCCATTGTTGACGGCGTTGTACGCTGGAGACATCCGCTCGACGATGTTCAAGAAGACGCTTGTGCCAGGCTGTTGTTGGTGTGTTCACATTAACAACCGTTCCGATCTTTCTACCCGGTACCTTCACCTGTCCATACTAATCTAATCGCTTGACGTCGTCGATTCCCCTTGGTCGCAAGCAAACTTTCCCCTTGAGAGATTACTCAAACGTTGTGGACCCGAAGGGTCCGCAATGCAACAAGAAATAAGCGACAGATACTTGTAGTCTGGCGTAATGTTCCTGTCGTGCGTCACTTCTCATCTTCCCGTGCCGTGCAGCAGCTGCAGCCTGACACCTCCCTAAGCTGAACACCACCTCGAGTCCATTCCATCACCGCTGACACCCGTTCACACTCGCTCCGCATCATTCTATTCCCCTCTCTCTTGTGCGGCCCGAAAGGTCGGGGACGAGGTCGAAGAACATGAACAATTAACGCCGGAAAAGCGTCCACCTTACGCCGAATCCGGTACAGGCGGGAGGAGGGGGAGTCGGGGGTCCATCCCCACCCACTGGGGCTTTCCAGGCGCCTTCTGAAAGGGCTGCCTTGGTCGTTTCGGAGGTGGTGTGCGGGAAATGAGGGGATGATTAGATGTCGCCCCCCCCGGCTGCTGCAGGTGGAGGGGCGAGGAATGAAGTTTTTTGAGCCGTGTGTACTAGATTGGGGAAAGTTTCGGAAGCACAGGAAGATGTTGACAGCACAGAGGTATAGGGGATAACAGGGGCCGAGGGTGCGTGAAAACAAATGTAGATCCACCCGGCAGAGCAAGCTGTGAAAGCGATAAGCAAAGGTGTGCTCAGGGCTCTCACTTGCTTGATCGGCCAAGAGAAACCAACCCGCAACTCGGCATCTTATGAGATGCACGTACAGTGTTGTATCGGTTGACATAGGGGTTCGGGCTTTTGCCGGTGTTGTGCGTGTGTGGTGTTTGTCCCATTTTCTGGCGCCAGTCTAAACCTGGCGATGTCTATGTTTGACGACGTACTAGCCGGGGTCACAAAGGAGGAAGGTCATGCAATAGTTTTTGTTATACTTTGACGCCCTACCTTTCGTCATAGAGTTGTCGCGAGAGCCATGCATAGAGTTAGGGTTAGGGGTATAATCAACTCGCGGTGATGCACCCCCTCGGCTACCAACAAGACATGGAGCCTGCACGCATGGCTACGTACACACGTGTACCAATTGTTTCAGCTGAAGTATCGTGACCGTCTTGCGGATGAACGGGAGGTGCGAATCTCGGTCGAGTGTCACGATGTAGAAACTTGTATTCCTCTATTTCATGAACGGAACAATGCTGGCTGGCTCAAGAAAAATTTGCTCCCCTCCTAAGAGGTGGGTGTGCGGTGATTGAATGTAATCCACCACATGTAGAACATTGTTTTTCATGTTTTCTCTTCGCATGCGTATCTACGTATGCTTGAGACTGTGGTGTTGTTTGATTGAGTGTTTCAACATGTTAAGGGGGCATGCGATCTTGTGGTGTATCTTGTCGGTTTCAATCGTTTCGGGAATCGCTTCGTGTTTTATGAGCAGTGTTTATTTTGCAACGTTTTCGGGGGGATGTGGCTCTGTGGATGCTCTATATGTCGTTGTGCAGGCACTTTGCCAGTGGTGCGTGGTGTCTTGTTTGTTGTATGAGGCCTGTATATTCTGGGCGCCAGTCTACAAACCTCACGGTGTATTTGACGTATCAGCCGAGGTCACGGAGGAGGAAGGTTACAGAAACAAGCCTCTTTTTGTTTTTTGAATTTATGTTTGTACATGTGCGCCGCATGTGGGCCGGCGCAGGAAAAGACCGAGCGCTGCCGCAGTCAATGAACAGCTAGCTTGATAGAACTGTTTGTATGGTTTGTCCTTTGCGCCGGATCAGTTGACGTGCAGCTGTATAAACCCCGCCTACCTCAACCTCCCGCAGGAATGACAGCACACCCATGGGCGGAAGTGTGTGAATGTTTGTGATGTTCCGTTTCGTATGCTATTCTGATTATGCGTATCACATTGTGTTGCTTGTTTGGCTAGGCGGGGAGTGGGGAGCTTTAGGGCCAAGATGAACATACCATGTTGTAGCGTATGTATGTGATTGGACTCACAGTAGAGAGGGAGGGCTTAATGAGGGTGAAGGACTATGCCAGGAGGAAAGCTCGTACGTTTCAGTCCGTAATCGTTGATGACGGCGGTGTACTGTTTCGACCGACAGTGTAGCACTCGAGGAAGTGGTATGTCCTAGTGTTCATGTTAACGTGAAACAGTTAAAGGGGTAGACCTCCCCGTGTTGTATTGTCGTTTATTGTAGTGTGAAGATCAATCTTCTTGGGAGAATGATAATATCATACCCGCTCGGGAATTGTCAATGGTTGTACATGTGGTGTCTCGTGCTCCGTGTGTGCTTCAGCAACGATGACTCCTGCGCGAATCTGTATTAGCCCCTCCAAAACAATCATCGGGTGGCGACATTGTATTGGACGTTGAATACGGTCAGACCGAGGTGTGTTGAGTATCACGCTCCACCCTTTCCATCCCCGCTTCTGCTCGGAGCTGCCCACGAGGTAGTGGTGGACAAAAACAATCGTGCTATTACTGTATGTCGGGAACCGCGCCATTTGCAAGTAGTCTCGTGGTTATTCCACGGAAGTATTCCGGCGCTGTGTCGGGAACCGGGATATATCGGGACCACGACTGTATGTCCAAACGCGCTTTTTGAACCAGCGTGGTCGATGACCACAAAGCCGATTGATGATCCTGAATGGGGGATGATCGTGACATGAGCTGGGAACGGTTGGGAAGGGTGTGCGCGGGAGAGGACTGTTTTGCGCTCCTGCGGTAACCAGACTCTATCGCGGCCTCGGGGAGTACACAAGTGACAGGGAGATCGGGCTTCAGCAGAGGCCGGGGCAAACCCCCGAGCAATTCCATCAAGCATAAATCACGCCATGCCCCCTGTGCGGTTTTTTGTTCCATTCGAAGCACAAATGTAAGTGTAGAAATCCTGAAATAGGGGACCTGCACGCATAACGTACTCATGTATGCGTTTGTCACACTCGAGACGATCTGAAGACTATGCAATTCGATGCAATGGAGGCTCTACTTTCCAATGTGTAGGCGCCATTGATTTTTCTCTTCGTGGTCGACACGCCCTGGTCACGCCAACAACGGATATGTTTGCTTCAAAACTAAAAATCACGTTGACCCATGCATAGTCTATACGTCTAGTTGTCCTACAAGAGTAATCTGCGTTCTCTTCCCAGGCAAACGAACGAATCCCCCCCAGCTCAAGCTACATGACAGCTTACAACAACGGTTCTCGACAAGAAAACAAAGACCTCAAAGAGTCTACCTCATTCGAATCTCATGTATTGTGCAACCGAGACGGGGGAATATTCCAATTACCTACAGGTATCTAGCGACTTCGTGTGGAGGGATGAAATGAAAAGATCGGGAATCGACACCCAAGCTAGTGAACATCTCTACAATTATTGCACAAATCCTTCCACAAGTTTCGCACAAGAGCCTCTATCGATCGTGTGTCTTTCCCTCGAAATAGATAGATGTCGATTCTGAGAGCAATCACAGCTAGGAAGCACCGTTCATAGAGACAACACGCTTTGACATTAACATACACCACCTCACTGTGGCCGTTACCCTTTGAAGCGGCAATCTATGGCCCCGGGCTCAAAACAACTCTTACCAGGCCCATAGAATTGGCGGCACACATGACACGAACGTGCACACGATAGCATCGATAACTGCCGCGCGAGTGATCTGAGACAGACGAAACCAAAACATAAATCACGATGACTTGACCAGCCGAACCCAAAATCACGAAGAAGCAGCTCAAGCGCAGAGTACCAACGCAAAGTGTGGCCCTCTACCAACCAAATCCGACAAGATCACGGTCATCACGTGCGAAAAACCACGAGCACACACATCGCGGTCCCTCCGAAAGAAACACATTTATTCGCCCAGAAGGAATACGATCGATCCGACTTGCCGGTCATTCCTGAGGGCACGATGCCGAAGCAATTTGTTTGCTTGTGACCTGCATGAGGACGGTCGTCATTTCTAATGCATAGGCGCATGATTGGCGCCGTCCGTTCTGATGGACCAATGAAAACGATGGAAGAAGCAGACTCCCACACTAACGCCGGAGGGCACGCACATACATGCTGCAACGGCACGAGTTCCTGACCCCACACAACACGCTCTCGCCAACCGAGCCCAGACCATTGGCCAGACGGCCGAAAAGGGGAAGGCCGAAAATGAGGTCTAGCCCTTCGAGGGAGCGAACGAGCAGAACGAGCGTAACTCCCTCCATGAATATCCCATGCATGCCTCTATTAGCTTCAACCGAAACCCCTCGCAGAGGGTTAGGCAACATTGAGAGTCCGACAGGGGTGATAGTGCAATCACTCAAAACCGTGCAGACATCACCCAAAGACCGCACACCTACCGCGACTCAGAACGATCCTGTTTTTCTCTGGTCTTCCCTCCCACCCGTCCTCCATCACTTTCCCCGCGGGCACACGCACACAAGCTTCTCCTGGAATGTAGGGAAGCTGTAGGTCCTCCTACACTGCAGCCGCGAAAACCGCACGGGTTGGTGCGTACCGGAAACGCTCTTCTCGAGCACACAAACATCCTACGGCGTCGTTTCGCGGCCGCCTGTTGGATTTGACAAGCCTTCCGTAGTCTAAACTACCATCCGAGGCGGAGGGATGGCACCCCCTCAAAACCGATCTTTTTCAAGGCTCGATTGAAACCAAGATCGTTGGGGCAACAAAAAAATTGTGTTCCTTCGAAACATCTCGTCAAGGGCTTTCGTATCGGGCTGTTCCTGCACCCCGTTGGTTGTGGAGCAATCAATTGAGCTTTGAAACTCGGTCCAAGATGAATGCCATCTCGCCGCCCCTTGCAGTATTCTAGTACCAGACAGAGCGAAACCCGTAGCCGCGCGAAAACCTGGTAGTGTGGTAACCTCCCCGCACGCAGGGATGTATGTCTCTGACTAGTGTACACGATTGCTGTTCTATGCTCAACGAAACACAACAGCCAGCACTACGGTGATACCTCCCTCCAAGTTTGAAGCCGGCTGACACAGGTGTCAAACAATTACCGATTGGCGCCAATGCGTGGGATGGACGAACGAACGAACGAACAAACACACACCACAGTCACAGCCTCGCCACCGAACATCTACGGAGACAGCGTTCAAACAAAATTCGTGCTCTCTCTATCTCGCTCTCTTTCTCCTTTTGTACCCTTGAGCCAAAAGCCATACCACATGATGCTCCAACGACAGACAGACAATACATATAACACTGTGATCGCGGTCTTCACCAACCACATCACGTCACATCACATCACAGACTTGACGCAACCTCTCAACCCTTACCCATGCTCTTCCTACGGTAGAGCGGCGCCATCTGCGGCAGCCTGTGCTTGGCGCAATGCGTGGCCCCCATCCCACGAGTCCTGGGCCCGAAAGACGCCGACACATTGCACCCCTCGAACTTGCACCGCTTGTTGTGCACGTCCTCCATGCCCTCCTCCCTGTGCTTCGAGCATCTGGAACCCCTCTTGTCCCCGGGCATCCCGTAGTACGGTTGGGTGTTGCACCCCTCGAAGCCGCACCTGCGCGACTTGATATTCACCATGTCCGGGAGCTTGTGCTCGGCGCATCGCGTGGCCAAGGTCGTCCCCTCGGCGGCGTGGGTCGGCTGCGTGTTGCAGTCGGGCTCGTCGCACCGCCTGTTGATCACGTCCACCATCCCGAGGCTCTTGTGCTTGCCGCACATGCTGGGCTTCTTGTCGCCGTCGTTGCCGTAGCTGGGACGGGTAGAGCAACCGGGGTAGCTGCACCGCTGCCCCTTTGTCTTCACCATGCCCGGGAGCTTGTGCGTCGTGCAGTGAGTGCCCCCGCGGGAGCCCTCCACCCCGTAGTACGGCTGCACCGTGCAACCTGGGAACTCGCAGTGCCGGTGCACGATGTTGACCATCCCCTGCACCTTGTGCTTGGCACACCGCCTCGCCTTCGGTTCCCCGCGTACTCCGTACGTCGGCTGGGTGAGGCAGCCGCTGAACTCGCACCTGCGTGACTTGATGTCCACCATGCCCGGGAGCTTGTGCTGGGCGCACCGCCGCCGCTTCTTCTCCGCCCCGGCCCCGTAGTACGGCAGCGTCGAGCAGCCAGGGTGCTCGCAGCAGGGCGCCTTCACGTCCACCATGCCCTCGACTGCGTGCTCGCTGCACCGGCGCGCACGCCTCTTGCCCTTGATGTTGAAGGTGGGGTACTTCTGGCAGCCCTCGAAGTCGCAGCAGCGGCTACGGCTGTGCTTGACGATGACCATGCCGATTGCCGCGTGATCCACGCACGCCGTAGGGCGCTTGTCCCCCTCCATGCCGTACGACGGCCGGGTGGCGCAGCCCGAGACGCAGCACTCATCGTAGTCCTCCAGCACCAACTCTCTGGGAGTTGCGTTTTCGGAGAGAGAAACGACGTGACAAACAGAGCGGCCGCGCGCGCGTGAGTGTTTACATTGTTAGGATTGAACGTGCCAACCGGCTGACCAATGACAATACGTCGGTCTCAGCGTATGTGTGTGTTGTTTATTAGCATCGACCGCGCTACCCGGCTGACCAATCAAAAGTCGTCAGTCTCAGTGCGGCTGAATATACGAAATGCTTTAGAGGCTACGATGTAGGACCCCATGAGAGGGGGTGTTGTTGCTGTAGCGAGTGGTATCGTACGCTAGGGCCCCATCGTAAGCCCGAGTACCTGCCGTATTGGGGAGGTGGGATAACAAGAGGTCCGTGAGCATTATCCTGTACAGCCGTCAGCCTTGCCTGGTCGAGACGCTTATCGCTTCGACGATCGGCAAGTGAAGAAGGAGTCGCGACCGATGGTCTGGAAATATGTCGCGGCTCTCTACGTTCTCATGTGCTCTAAACGATGGGCTTCACTGCTGCTGTGTGCTTGGTCATAGCCAGGTGGAAATTAATCGGGATGACCTGCTGCACGTAGCGTGCTAGAAGCAGCTCGTCCACTCTGAAAGAGATGCGAACATTCATGTACCCCGATGGGTACTGTAGAAGATGAGTCATCCCGACCACTTCACATGGTACCCGCATCATCCTTATATGCGTTGCTGTAGGTGGTCGAGCAACCATTGAAAACTCGCACACAGGACAGAGGTAGTCCGGGTATGCCTGCAGGCAATGTGGCTACTAAGCCTCGGGTACATAGATATTCGACTGCTGTATCGTGGACGACCGCCTGCATTCACCGCATCGGACAAAATCTATGCACCCGTTGGCAGGAGTTCGTCAAGCCTGCCTGTCTGTCTCCGTCACACACGAACACCCAAACATTCACTCGCCCCTTTTCTGCGTCTCACGACACTGGCTGCAACGAAACAAACCAACTTATTGTACCCAAGCTTGGGACACGTTCCGCCTGTATGCGTCTGTCTGTGTGTCTGTCTGTGTGTCTGTCCGCCTGTCTGTCTGTCTGTCTCTGTCTCTGTTTCTGTCTCTTTCTCTGTGTGTGTGTCTCTCTCACACACACTGAGAAAGATTGCACCTTCGATTGTTAACTTTGCCGCAAGAAACCATGACAACATGATGATGAGGGCAATGAATGAGATCGTCCTCTGCAAGATGGCTGGCAATGTGGGAATACTGACTGCAGCAGGAGGACGCGCAGACCCGACGAAGAGTGAGGTGGATTACTTCAAAGGGACAGCTAGGGCACAGATACACCTGCTCACACATGAAGGGGGACTCGGGATCACGAGCAACGTCCTCATTAGGGAGTCAGCTTATGTAGCATATCAGGCACTGGTGTTCTCCAAATCAGTGCAAGCATCGACAGGATGCACCATTGAGCAATGTCTGCCCCGACTTGCACAGCTACCAACAGGATTGGCTCTGATTGACGCTCTTGAGAAGCTGGAGGAGATCATCACCAAAGACAAGCTTGAAGAAGCTGTTGGTCAGTCATGGGCGAAAATGGTCACATGTGAAGATTTGACTCCCACTCTTGAAGGAGTTTTTCTCATGGAGGCTAGGAAAGTGGCGAGAAGCGATGGAGGCGACAACCCTGACAAGAAAAGGCAAACACCATCGACGTGCGGCCGAAATGAATTTGGCCGGCCCTACTAAGTTTTGGGGCTCAAGCTGTCCTGTCGAAACTTCTTGATGCGGCAGTGCGCCATGTGGTGGAGACAGACTTCAACAAGGTCGGATCACAGGAAACGTCAAGGAAGAGGGCGTTGGTCCGGTTGAAGGAAGTGTAAGGCATGGGAGTTTTCTCATGGCCGGCAACACAAGGACTGTCGCCAGAGGAACGAATGAATGCTGCCTGACTTGTATCGAGAGTCAATCGGTCGTGTGCTGGGGAGCCACGATTAAACTGAACGTGACGCAGGCAGACTTTTCGGTGCAGGTGCATTGTCGCCATGCAAGGAACGGACGGTTGAGCCGACACCACTCCCTGGTCTGCACGAAGACCGGTGCCTCGACCTTCCTGCACAACAGGTGGTTCGCGTGATAAAAAATACATTACGCGAACGCCACAATGCCTATCGCCGTAGAAGACCCTTCCCCATTTCCTACAGGCACTGGCAGGGGGAAAAGGCTCTACAACATGGATTTGGTAATCCCCCCAGAAATACACGCAGGAGACAAAGAAGAGGAACTCTGCACCAAGTACATTCTTGTAGACGTAACAGTCATCAACCCATCCGCTGGTCGAAGCATCGACAAGTCGATCCAATAGCCAGAATCCGCCCTCGAAGATCGAGCTGCAGGAGAGGCAAATCACCATGCGGGAACTTTCAACCCGTCTAGATCTACCCTCCGTACTGCTGCTTTTTCAACGTACCATGGTCTTGGCAAAGGCGCAAATCGACGCATCGTAGCCATCGCCAACTACTTGGCATACGAAGCCTTTTGCAAGGTAATTTCGACGACGAAACAGCCTTGCTTCGCCTAATGAAGGCTTTTCATTCCCATAGGATTCGGAGACGATTATCTTCGAGCTGACTGGTTTTCTAACCGTACGAACTCGTGATGTTTTCAAACGTCATGGACTACTTCTTGATCAGTTCCCACCACAGCCAATTGATTGAGATCTCGGTAGTGGTGCAGATAGAAACGACCAGGATGGCAACGAGGGGAATTCGTTAGGCAGCGATGAAGGAGGAGGAGAGGGAACGGGAGGAGGACAATGCAGAGACCAAAGCAGAAGTCGAGGAGGGAATAATGGCGTGAAAGAGAGCAAGAGCTTCGAGCCAGATGACCTTATCCACCACAAACGACGCAGGGCTAGAGATGAAATGTCGAGAAGTTGCTGAAAACGACCATGAGAACGATGGAGCTGAAAGGAAGGGGGATGACGGTCAAAGCACTCTAAACGAACTCGAGTGCAAGGTAGCAGCCTTCGTAGACGTGTGCAGTTTTCTTCTGTTGCTACAGTTTCTGTCTTTGATCCGGAGAGTAGTTGAGTCTCCCCAATGCCGCCCCCTCACGGGATGCCAGTTAAAGGCATTTAGAAGTGTTTTGTGTTTTCAACGGCACTAAGACTGACGTCTTTTCATTGGTTAGCCGGTTAGCGCGGTCGATGCTAGTAAAAAAAAAAAAAACACACACACACACACACACTCACTCCTGTCTGCGCCTCTCCGCCGTCTCAAGCGACTCCAGCGCCCCTCCCGCGTGCATCACGTACGCGGGGTGCTGCAAGAGCCGACCATTCAGATCAATCCCACCGCCACCACCCAAACCCACTCCTTTCCTCCCTCCCATGACACCCGACCGCGACTTGGGGCTGCGGGCCGAAACACCGGAGCCCCCCGCGCCTTGGCTATCTTGCTGCTGCTGGGGCAGCACCGGCCCCATCCACACCGGGTAGGGCAACTGCCCCACGGCAGCAGGGGCCCCGTGGATGGACGCCGTTGGTGAGGTAGGTGCGCCCTCGCCGGGGCCCCCGGGTGGGTGGGCAACCGCAGACTGGGCGACGACGCTCACCCCCGTCTCGTGGTGCTGCTGTTGTTGCCCCTGGAGGGGTACGACTGTCTCGTGCATTGATACGGCGGGGCCACCTGCGGGGGCCCCGGCCGGGCCGACGCGGATCACGGTCCCGCCGAGGAGTCCTGCTCCCGCCTGCTGCTGCTGCTGCTGCTGCTGCTGCTGCTGGACGAGGTGCTGCTGCTGCTGCGGAGCGGAGTGGTGCTGCAAGGCGGCCTGTAGCTGCGGGGGGGGTTGGTGCTGCTGGAGCGGGGGCAGCTGGTTCGCCGCCTCCATCGCCGACGTCGCCGCCTCCATCGCCGCCATCTGGAGCGCCTGCTGCGGCCACAGCGCCGCCTGAGGTACACCGGACACCGGGGTCGCACCGTACAAAGCCACCGCCTGACCCGTCGGAGCCGCACCGTGTAGAGGCAAGGCGTAGGGTGCCCCGGCTAGGGGTAGCGCTGCCTGGGTTGCTGTTGCTACGCCCGCCAAGGGCACAGGTTGGCTTGCGCCTGGCAACGGTGCCGCCGCCGCCGCCGCCGCCTGGGCGACGCTTGCCTCGTTCCCACCCTCCGCAGCAGGGGATACCAGCGTCGTGGACCCCGTCCCTGCAGGGAGGGCTGGGGGCATCAAAGCTTGCCCGGTGGCCCCGCCGGCGCTTTCTCCGCCGGCGCCGTTCTCTATGGACGGCGGCAGCGCCGCCGCCAAGTTCACCTCTGGCGCCGCCGGCGGGGATGGGTACGGGGCGGAATCGGAATACGTGGACCCATCCGCCTCTTCGACGGGCGCGGCGGCTGCTACTGCTGCTGCTGCTGCTGACGCCGTCGCCGCCTGCGGTGTCGATGCTGCGTCCGATGGTGTGTTCCCCCGCATGGCGGCGAGTCCGTGGCCTACGGGCTCTCGGGTGTCTCCAGGCGGGGCGACGAGGGGCTGTGGTTGTGGCCGCTCGTGTGTCATCGTCTCTGCGTGGTCTCGCTTCCGGCCGCTTTCAGGCTGCAGCTGCTGCTGCTGCTTGCTGCCGGACGCGGCGTTGAAAAGCAACTGGTGGCAATCCTCGCACCAGATCCCGCCCACCCGCAGGGCGGACAGCTTCACGAACAAGTCGACGTCGCGCAAGGAGCCAAGCCCGTTCAGCTGCTCCTGGGTGATGAAAGTCACCTGCTTGTCGCCAGCGCACCCGGCCACAAGCCCGCATGGGCCTACCGCTGGCGTTTCCGACATAGCTCTTTGGCGAGCAGCGCGGGGGAGGGGAGGGGGGGGGCGAGAAGCGGGGGGTACCGGGAGACGGATCAAAACCGATAGCGTGCTTTTCCGCGGGATTGGTTATAAGCCCCCTTGGTAGAGTTGTGAAGGTCGATTTCATGCCCACCCGTACCGAACATCAGCCTGGAGCGCTTGCAACAGTGTCTCGATTCCTTGCGCCTGCTTTTGACCCCCGCAACCTTGTGTGTTTTGGGATGTCCTCCGAGTTACACGCATACGTGGATTTTGGCATATCCTCCGACTTGCGCGCATAGATCTACATACATATCTGGTTTACACGCCAGCCTCATTCTCTTTACGTATCGCGGGCGCTACTTGCTGGATGCAGTAGACCATCGGGAGTGCGAGTTCCAGCCTCATATAAGTCTTGCCACCATCGACATGGGCTGATACCACACTGCTATATCAGCTAAGGATGCCGCGAACAGTCAATACAGGAGCACTGGGTCGTTGCATCTATCGGACACAGTCTTTTTTATCTGTTGGCCGTGTTGTAGCATACAGCGGCGTTTTCTAAGGGACACGGAGGAATGGAACGGGAGGGGTCAAAGAACAGCGCCGGCGTGGGGGAAAAGAATACTGCTGAAGTCGACTGCTGTACTGTAGTCTTTCCACATATGCAGTAGGTGTTACCGGAGCTCATACGACAGCAGATTGTGGTCGCTCAGAAATTGCATGTATGCACATGAACATTTTCTGCATGCACAGGAATATTTTCTTAAAAATAAAGACTAGCCTGCGATTATCGGCCAGAAGCGGTGCATCAACCAAAAGTCGTGTCAGGGTTTAAGAGTTCAATCCACGATTCAAACGAAGGTGCTATGCATACGGCAGCAGTACCAGGACATGAGTGAATGTTCGTCAACCCTTCGTTCATTTATTTTGGACTAAACGTCGGACGCCGCCTCGCACATGTCGCCAGCAGCGGCCTTCTACAATATTCGTGATCAGAAGGAGGGCGAGCGGCCGCACAACAACACACACATGACGCATTCTGTGAAGCAGCGAGACAAGATTCATCGCTGTCTATCCCTCGAAGCGTCCCACGAGAGGCCGCATGTACAGCAGCAGCAAGCACAGCGGAGATACTGCTGCCCTCTCCTTTCTTGATGAGGACACAACAACAATACGCAACACGTGAGCAGCATCCATCACATACACGCGTTCGCTGCAAACGGCCGTTCACCTCTGTCTGGCAACAGACGCTCCTGCCCCGCACCTAAGCTGCGAGACGGATCCAGCCGCTCGCTCGAGCCCCTTGGCTGTTGCCCGCAATGGACGAAGGCCCCGGCTCCGCGTTCGTAGATCTATCTGTCCGTGGCGGCGTTGGTTCCAGTGCTTGAAAACAAAAGTCCCTTGTACGAGGAAGTGATTTTCGTCATTTTGCTGTGCTTCCACGCCTTCGATTGCCACCAAGCAGCGGTGCAAGAAGCCTCCTTGCATTGTATTTATTTATTTATTTATTTATTTTTTTATTTTATTGTTTGAATCTGGAAAACAGTCATCTCACCGCTTTGCGTCGCTGCTTCATGCACGCCTGTGCATGAGACAAGACGATCTTGACCAAGGAGCGAATGGACTGGGACTAAGTGTAGCTCAAGTGAAGATCAGCTCCTACGGGTCAGGTGTGACGAGTTACCTCAGCCCAAACAACCCAACACACCGATTGGGTGATGTTCCAGCTTTCAGAACGGTCCAGAGATCGGTTCGCATGACCGAGAGAGCTGTCGCGGCGCACTTCACATCAACCTCATCACGTCACAACCATCGGGAGCCAAATTCAAGTCATGGCAACCTTCGCAGACCATCGTGAGCGAGATGCCACATCGAAAGGAGGAAGAGGAAGAGGAGGAAGACGAGGTCGGCATGATGATGCCAGGGTCCAGGTATTCCTCACAACAAGGTGCATGTTGTATGTATGCTGATCGTTTAGTAGGTTGTATAAGACACCACACACACACCCCGGACCGAGTTTTTTTTTGTTTTTGTTTTGTTTTTCTCCCATCATTGGACTCTGTCGTCTGCCCCTCTGGCCCCTTTCCTCCACTTCTACTAGCTAGACGACCCAACCGGGGTCACATAGGAGGGGGGGGTTGGACCCCCTCCTGCGGTTCATGCCTGAGGTATTTTTATCGCGACAAGGGTACAGCAATCCTTTCCCTCGCGACTTGCGAAGTCGATTATGGTTTACTAACAAACGAGCTTTGCAGCGCGTCGCTTTCATGTAGACCAGGATTTATGTAGTGAGAAAAAAACTCTCTGCCGGGTATTCAAGCTCGACTACTCCACGACAAAGGCTATGCCACAGCGGTCAAATGATTCATTTTCGGGAAGGCCTCGACGAGACGGTTCCATCGCTGCCGTTTCGGCATTGCCGTTGCTCTGGCTGCACGGGATAGTCAAAGTTTGAGATCGGTCTTAAAAGGGTGTGCTATCTCGTGTCAAGGATGTGTACATCATAATTAACTCCACATGTCAACCGCTACTTTCCCCATTCCGCTAATAGTACGGTCGACCCCGCTTTAAGGACGCACATGGTTTTTCCCGAAAATAAGCGTCCTTAAAGCGGGGTTGCGTCCTCAAAATTCAGGGGACGATAGCTGACTATCCCCGTGGCCAATGGAGGCATGCTACACCTCGAACTACGCGTCTTTTGCTAAGGAAGAGGGTGGTATAGATGGCGCCCGCACTTAAGAACGTCAAATTTGACGTGAGGCTCGACGCTTATCGGCTGCCTCGACCCCAGCACATGTTCTTATGGCAATGATCTTATTCCGATCAGACATTTGGTCGCTGAAAACGGGGTTCTTGTTCTTATTTCACCGTCGAGTGCTCCAGAGGCGCACCAGGACGCCCACTGGTGACTCGCAGCTATGTACATACATCGATAGGACGTGGAAATTAGCGTGTAATTTCATGCGGAAAAATAAGTTGCATCATCCCCATACGGCACGTCCATACTTCGCCGTACGATGCCCATACTGTCCATTCACCAGGCACCAAGAATACTGGCCGTCGACTTGGNCATCGATAGGACGTGGAAATTGGCGTGTAATTTCATGCGGAAAAATAAGTTGCATCATCCCCATACGGCACGTCCATACTTCGCCGTACGATGCCCATACTGTCCATTCACCAGGCACCAAGAATACTGGCCGTCGACTTGGCCGCGTGCTTGTACAACAGACTTCGACCGGATCACGCACCGCAGCAGCTGTGCTCGTGGTTGAGTACAAATATCAAAACAAACTCCGAAGGCTTCAACCTTCTTGGTCGATAAGGAACAACATATTCGCCTGATTGAGAGCGTAGCATCTGATTGAGAGCGAGATTGCGCGATACGCTGTAGCCGGACTACCACTGAGAGGTGGAGCTTGCTGTGTAGCTTGAATTGAAGGGCTAGCCCGTAGCTTCAAGCCGCTACCCTGGTCATCCTGTGGGAGTCTCTCGTTGTGGAGCTACAGCGGGGAGCAGAAGCTACAGCAGAGCCCACCGCCCGACGCGATACCGCCCTGAAACAGTTTGAGCAGAAATAGCCAATCTGGGCAAATCTAGCAACTTGTCTAGCTCCTCGCTGCAGCATCCGATGACGATGACACGCATATGCTCGCGAAGCTGCTGATGAGACCTTCAATTTGCACCGCTTCTTGGAATAGCCCGTCCCCTACTTGCCAAGAAATGGCAAGAGGCGTCTGGACCCGAAATTTCAATTTTTTTGGCTCTCGCTCTCAATCAGATACTTCGCTCTCAATCAGGCGAATATGTTGTTAAGGGTCACATTCGGCATGCGTTCCCTTCCCGCTCTACTAACGCCCAACGTGGCTGCAGCTCCGCCCCCATCCACCTGCTCGACCGTGCTCCTCTCAAGCAAGATCCACGAGCCCACCACCGCATCCGGATCTCGTTCGTACATTTCCAACGGCAGCTTCATGCTGCGCGTACTTTGGTCTAGGTCGAGATGTACACGGTAGTCGTAAAGGTGGCGAGTGCGCTCCTGAGACTGTCGAGTGATCACCCCCCCAAACCACCCCATCCCTAGCCTAACGAGTACTCCACGCTGCAGTAACGAACTGTCAAGAACTGCCGGTGTAGATGATTGAATGCGAAATCCATCCGGAATCTCCATGGCGTGAATCTCGTCGTCCGATTCCATGCTGTCGTCGTCATCCACAAGACTCAGCGCGTCCATCTGGCCTCTGGCCGTCTCTGCAACGACGGGCACAAACGACAATGTCGCAGAAACTGATATGTCATGTACGCAAACATATGTTTAACGGCAACGGCAAGGGCAAAGGCAACAGGAACAGGAAACGCAACAACAATCAAGCAGGGGAGTGAAAAACCCTGGTGGGCATCCAACTTACCACGAGTGTCTTCGTCGCTAGAATCGCTTTCCGGATGCAGACGACGCGGCAGCGTCGTCTGAAGACAGTGTAGGGCGAGCGCTGTTGATGATGCCCGAGATGTCTCCATCAACCTGCGTGGTCCACTCTTCTTCCGAGAACACGGCGCTGCTCCTCAGGTCCCACGCCAATCGAAGGCCTCCCAGTCTTCGCTCGAGAGGGAGTTGCCCTCCCTTCCATGTTTCTTGATCACCTCATACTGTCGTTCAAGCATCACGCCCTTTGCTTTGAGTGCTGCGAGCTTCTGGAGCTACCTCAACGTCGCCAAGGGCAGCGACATGATCGTCCTTCGTGCAGACAGAGGGCTTGTTGCGTGGCACGCACCCGAGGAAACCCGAGGGCCGCAGGAGCGAAGGGGGCACAACGATATCCCCACACACACACCCTCCTGGTTCACTAATTTTTCGCTACCTACCCTATGTTGTGGGAAAAAATACTGGAAGGAGGGAGGGAGGGGGTGACGCTACCCGCCGAAGTTCTTGTCTTCCAGCGAAGATCTGCAATGGACCCCGTTCTTATCTTGACCTCGAGTTTGGACCCTCGATGCGGGTTCTTGTTCTTATGTCACCTCACAACTGAGCACTTGCTCTGATGGCCGAGTTCTTAAGTTTTGGATTTTTTTAGCCCCATGTTCTTAACAGGTGTGTTATTAAGTGCGGGCGCCATCTGTACGGACAGTCAGCATCGCCGACTGGCAACCGTTTGTTGACGTCGAACATATTTACGATATTTGAAATGAGATGTACAGTAGTCGGGGACGTGTTGAAAACAACTACAGTAGTACACCAGTTTGTACTTGGCCAACCAATGTACTGCATAGCCGGCGACGGAAGAAGGAGCAAAGTCCAAGTAGACATACATGTATCTCATTCTTGTGAAACAAATAAAACGAGCGAATTTCAGCGTCGCACAGAGGAACACCAGTACATATAATAACTGTTCCGGCGGAGACCAAAAGCTACCCTGACGACTTTTCCCTTGACATATTCCCTGAACCTCCCCCGCGGCTTGGCTCCACGGCTCTGTTGAGTTTCACGAGTATACGAATGAACGGTCTTCGAAAGAAGGTGCTGCGTCTCACGGTACTCGCCACCCCTTCCCTTCGTGTACAAATGGAATCGAACGTCCTCGAAGCGAGAGATAACCTCGCCGTCGGTGAGGGACGAGGTTATGCACGACTTTTTTTTTTGGCGGCATCAGATGGACCGCCGGTAGATGGGAGGAATCTATCCATAGCAACACCCAATTGCAGCTGCAGCAGCAGACCGCTCGCTACTTGTGCTGTCTGTGCGTCGCTACTTCTGCACTCACTGTGGTGCGTGGTGCGTGAAAAGAGCGGCCCGCAGGACACAAAAAAGGGTGTACGCGGCAAAAAAGTAGGGGTATCCCCATTATCGTACATTATGCTGGACCCCCTGGTGCTCAGCCAAAAAAAAATCCTTAAAGCGGGGAGTTTCCTTAACGCGAGCGTCCTTAAAGCGGGGTCGACTGTAATACGACGAGCTAAACCACTCTAGTTTTAATGATGTGGCGATAGCTATGGCTCTCATAGGCCTCAACGAAACGAGCACTTCATAGCGATGATGAGAACGAATGGTCGGTAACACGTGGTTAGTCTGTGTGTCACATGTTTGCAATCGGAAGAGATTGTGAGAGAAGAGCCAGTACATGGAAAGAGGCCACATTAAGGAGCCAGTGCAGCCGTCACCTTGCCCGCCCATTCAACATTTATCCCGACGCGTGTTCACTACGCCTAAACTGCAGTTATGGACATCCCAATGATGCTTGGGGAGAGTTTCTCCTTTTGTTTGGCACAAACAACAGAGTCACGGGCAAAACTACCACTGAGTGGTGATCACTGCTGTAGCCTATGCATGTATAGGTCTTGACACACTTGGTTGCTCTGTGTGTATTATTTTAGTTGCTTGGTGTCGTGTGTGGTATGTTTTTCTTTGAGTCACCTATCTAAGGGCTTCACAGGTAGTTTAAACTTGGAATGCACCACAGCACTTGGGTGGATCTTGTCACGGGAAAGTCCGACTCTAAATTGAGAGTCGTTTTCGATATCGATTTCTACTTCCATTTCCATCTCAGAAACAAGTTTTGCTCCGACGTGAATTGCGTCGAAAATCGAAAACAAAACGAACAAGGAGTCCCTCTCAAGTAGGAAGGAAGGGTCTGAAACTGCCCGCTGAAACGACTCAACCCATGATCATGAGAGCCACACGGCATTCCAGACACTGAACCATAGTTTGTTCCGGATGTCGGGCATGATCAGTCTGGTTCGACATTCATGGCCTCGCATCGACACGCTGGAAAGTCAGCGAGCGATTTGTGATAGAGTGCTCCGGGCTGACTCAATATAAGGAAAAGAAGCCGTTGGCAAAGCAAGAATTTTACGTCGATCTCTCTCTCTCTCTCTCTCTCTCTCTCTCTCTCTCTCTCTC